GGGGCTTGGTCACCCACCCCACGAGCCTGAGAAGGTAAAGCAGAAACAGTCGAAACAGGGGTCATCATCATTACGAAAAGGAATATTCATTCACGAATGTGCCCCCACACCCACCATGGAGCCACAATTAGAGGCAGGACACCCAACAAGAAGCTATCGCCGATCATGCCGGGGCCTCCTAGGGGTGCGTCCTGAGTATACGCCCCACAAACGCCACCTTAAGAAACCGACAGTCCGTCGAGATCGGGTTCAGTGACGAAAGGGGGATTGACAATAAAAGGTTCCCCTCGCTCTCTACGTCGGGTACTACAGTTCTACGGGTGCAAGAGTATGCCTCCTCAAGCACCCGGAAGTCAAAATAGAAGAAGTCCAAGGGAATAACCAGAACAAGCAAAAGGTTGGCAGGAAACGGCAAGCAGATAGGAGAAGAGGGGGAGAAAAACGAAACAGAAGGAAAAGGAAAAGGTGCTCAGCAGAATTGGAGAGGACGGCAGCAGGAGCACAAGGCTAGAAAAGGACAGAGGACTGTCCCAAGGAGCATCACACTCCGGCAGCCGGCCACCAAGCCCCCCCCCTCACGGCAACAACGAGCTGAGCGGGGAGGGGGGTTAAAACATCGAATTAATATCTTCAAATATCAGCATATTTAGGCGCAGGTTAGGTCAAGTTTAGGTTCTGTCGGCAATTATTTGTGCCTACAGAATAATGTCAGAGTCCATTCAGCAATTATTATGCAATTATTATTAGTGTTTGTAGTACGTGGGTGAAGCATTCGAACAGAGGTCGTCAGCGAGGCAATGTTCGAATGTCCTCAACTCCGTGTATGCCATCTTTCCATTCATGAACACGGTGGGGGGGGGGGGCTGGACTAATGAGCATTTGGCCTTTCTTGATGAAGACAGCTGGCTGCTTTTCTTTTGTTATACCTCGCATTATGTTGAATCTTTGTCGAGCACTGTTTCGCTTTCTTCCCATGTTCGAACGCGCTTGTCTGTCTCACTTGCGTATTGCATCAACATTTATAAACAGAGGACAAATTTACGTCTAACACGTCTTGGCTGACGGCAGCAATTTGGACAGCAACATTTCGGTAGATAAGATATAAATCTTAAGGGCCATAAATGGCTTTACGAAGATAACCAAAAAAACAATTTTATCTTTAAAAACGACACTGTCAAGTTATTCTTACACCAGAAAGAAATAATGACAGCTGTAATACTTACTGTCTTTAACACAACAAAACTGGGTAAATTAACCCAACTATAAACGTACAGAACAAACATTTATGAATAAAGTTCTCAAATTTAAATCCATCAATTAAAATATGAAGAAAAATAAGGTGAAGTTATGAAAATCTCTATATGAAGAACGTTCCAGCCAGATTCACGAAACAGTTACGCAAGCACTTACGAACCTGTACATCTTTTCTCAATCTTTGGCGGCTTTGCTTCCAATTATTAAACAGTTAATGAGCTCCGAAGCACCAGGAAGCTGTTTATAACAATAACAGTTGAATGGGAAGTTTTCATGCTTGTAAACCGTTTAATAAATGTAACCAAAGCCGTCAAAGATTGAGGAAAGATGTACAAGTTCGTAAGTGCTTGCGTAACTGCTTTCGTGAATCTGGCCACCAGGAAACTAGTACATCTGTGTAGGTATGACATCAATAACCTAAAGCTTATCAAGATGTTTAACAACCTACAACTCACAAATCAGATCTCTAAGTTTTGTATTTTATTTATTTATATATACAAGAGTTTTTACATTCTTGTACTCGTGAGTACATTATGAGTACTCGCCATTAATTTGGGGTTACTGCACTGTCTTGTCTTAAGTTGTCTGTCTAATTACCCGCCTCTGGGGAGAAAACCTTTTCTTATAATCGAGCTTTTAAGCTTTTCTCGTCACATGCGTGAAATTTGTCAGACAACAACTGAGCAATAGACCCAAATTAATAGACTGGGCAATTAGATCCCAAATAGACCTACAACTCACAAATCTCACAATTAGAGATTTGTGAGTTGCAGGTTCTTATCCATCTTAATTTAACATACTTCAACCAATCCTATACTCCAAGATCTCCTACACAAAGAGTGTGTCTCTGGTCTGTGTGTTTCTACAAAGGGCACAAAATAAATGTCCCGAGTTTAGTGTCAAACTCCGTCACTCAAGAACAAGAGACGAGATATTTGATAATCAGATAGATGTTCCTCTTTTGTATAAATAAGTGAAAATTGTAACGCTTTTCATACATGAAATCCGTAACAAAATGGGAGACCATTTTGGGCAGCAGACTGGTGCGCTAAAACATACTTACATTTCAACAGTTTAAAAACTCAATTTAATAGCTAATAAGAGAACTCCATTCAGTGAACATAACTGAACAGAACACGACCGTTCTACCATTTAAAATAATCAGTCACAAGTGACGTACAAAATAAACAGAGATTTGTGTTGTGATAAACGTGACAAATTGAAAGTGGTGGAAACACTTACCACTATCGCCTGTTAATGAACTTATAATAAAGTGTTATTAAACGTAATCCACGAGACCGTTGGGAGCCGGTCGGCCGAGCGGACAGCACACTGGACTTGTGATCCTCTGGTCCCGGGTTCGATCCCGGGCGCCGGCGAGAAACAATGGGCAGAGTTTCTTTCACCCTATGCCCCTGTTATCTAGCAGTAAAATAGGTACCTGGGTGTTAGTCAGCTGTCACGGGCTGCTTCCTCAAGGTGGAGGCCTGGTCGAGGACCGGGCCGCGAGGACACTAAAGCCCCGAAATCATCTCAAGATAACCTCAAGATAACCGTCAGGTTATCCATTAATATCTATTTTAACAGCGAATAAATTATTTAGTAAAATATTTTCAAGCTGTTGAAATAATCCAGTTTATGTTATCAATCTTTTTTATATATATAAATGTTAATAAAACAATTTTCACCACTAAAAGAATTACAACCTAACCATGTAACTTTTTATCTAAACAAAAAGGAAGATAACGCAGCTGTAGAGAATAGATCTTAAATATCTATCAGTATATAATATACATGTACAATTACATACATTATATATATATATATATATATATTATATATATATATATATTATATATATATATACATACAGAGAGAGAGAGAGAGAGAAAGCAATTGAAAACTAACACTGGAATATCGTAGCAACTCGCGGAAATTAACATACCTGCTCACCGAAATGTGTCATTTCTCAAGAAAAATCCAAACCATTTATATATCTTACCCCGTAGCGTCTATAAATACCTCGACGAGAGCTGCACGCAAGGAGGAAATAATATTGCGCCAACACGGTTAAGCTCTCCGGAATGCGTATTTCATCTCAAAATAAAAAAATAAAGAAATATATAATATTTCTCTCAACCTGTTCTTGGACCTGTAAACGTCTAGGCCCCGAGGTCGTCGTTGTGGTGAACAAACAAGCATAAAAACCAACAACGATATTTCACAAACAGGTAAAAAAAAAGAGACCTCCCCCCCCCCCCACGTCTCAAAAAAAAAATTAATTTGAAAAGATCAAAAGGACGCACAAGTGAGGGAGGTCCGCGCGCTCGGCGCTCACGACAAAGACATTCACAAGAAAACTAAAAAAACAAAAATATTCCCAAGCCTCTGGAAACAAACAAGACACTCGCTGGAACTACGATGTATTTCTCAAGAAAACAAAACAACTCTACTAAACAACACTGCATCTCACAAGAAAACTTTTTTCAACGAGAAAAACTTCGAATCTCGTAAATAAAAGTTACCTAACTAGAACAGCACTTCACCCCCGAAATAATAATTAATAATAATAATAATAATAATAATAATAATAATAATAAATAATAATAAATAATATTATTATTATTATTATTATTAATAATAATAATAATATTATCAACCGAGACAAAAGGCAGCAGGTTGAGAAAGAAATCGTTTCTACACAACACTGAAGTTCACCTCTGAGGGAAATAAACGAAGCACTGAACCCAAGCTCGGCTTCTCATGTTTACTTTCGACTCAAGGAGGCGACTAGGACGCTCCGCTGAACCAAGCGGAGAACTTCTGAACAGCTTTGTTTCACACGCCGCTGTTCAGAAGGACAAGTTTGATCCACCAGCACTCGTACCTGACCCCCTACTGCCAGTGCTGGTGTCAGTAACACGTCAAGATCATCTAGCAACTCAAAATGTGTTCATAGCAGTTTCACAACACATGAAGTTAACGTAGCTAGAAACAAAAATCCTGAAATATTTATACAACTCTTACTGTAGGTCCATTCAACAGCCACATGGTCTGAAGACGTGACGGGAACGTTCTTCAGACAAACTATTATTCATTCTCATGTTAAATTTAAGTAAAATTGTATACAATTGATAACGAAAAGTTCAAATATTTCCAAAAAATCTGATTCGTGGCAAACGTGGTTTGATCTACGAATAACACGTTGAAAATGCAAGAGCCAGAACGGCACATCCGCTATAGTAACAATGCGATGATTTTATTACACACATTTATTAAAATATATTAGAGAGACGAGGGGGTGGGAACAGGTTTTGCCACCTCTTATATTGGATTGGAGAGGACCCTTAGCCTCAAAGAAGAGAAAACATGACATTTCGAAGAAGGGCAACTCTGCACCCCCCGCCTATGCACTTGCACATTTGCCTTATTTTTTTGAGATATATACAAGAGTTGTTACATTCTTGTACAGCCACTAGTACGCGTAGCGTTTCGGGCAAGTCCCTGGAATACGATCCCCGCCGCGAAGAATCGTTGTTACAACCAAGTACACATTTTACTGTCGAGTTAAACAGAGGCTACAGTTAAGGAATTGCGCCCAGTAAATCCTCCCCGGCCAGGATACGAACCCATGACAAAGCGCTCGCGCAACGCCAGGCGAGTGTCTTACCACTACACCAACGCAGTGGTAACCAATTATCTACACCAATCATCTTGCATGCAAGTCAAGTGTGTAGAGCACTTACTTGTCCCTGAGGTTGTAGACGCCGCCGTAGCCGCCCTCCACCTTCAGCAACTTGGCCACCAGCTCCGAGCCCTTGAAGACGTTGACGATGAAGAACTCGGCCGGGTAGGTGGCCTTCTTTTTCTTCTTGTATACGCGGGTCACGAACCCATAAAACACGACCTGGGGACGAGAGGTGAGCCGGTGAGCAGGCGAGGAGCAGTGTGGGCAGGAGGGGATTCGGTCCCTACTAATACATCAAGCTTCCTCCACTAATATCTGGGTGTCCTAATATATTTAGTGCTTCTAATCGAGATGTTTATCTAAGTGTTTTCTTAAGATCTAGAAGGGTTATTCTTAAGGGATTTATGTAAACATTTGCACCCCCCGAAGGTGCAACCCGAAGGACCGAACAGATGAACATCCTCCCTAAATTATAACTGGTAGCTACGAATTACAAATTGTGAGGGAGCCGGTCGGCCGAGCGGACAGCACACTTGACCCGTGATCCTGTGGTCCCGGGTTCGATTTCGGGCGCCGGCGAGAAACAATGGGCAGAGTTTCTTTCACCCTATGCCTCTGTTACCTAGCAGTAAAATAGGTACCTGGGTGTTAGTCTAGCTGTCACGGGCTGTTTCCTGGGGGTGGAGGCCTGGTCGAGGACCGGGCCGCGGGGACACTAAAAAGCCCCGAAATCATCTCAAGATAACTTCAAGAAGATGGTGGGGAAAAGCGTGTTGTGGATTCTGGGGAACTAACAGGAATAGGGGAAAAAGTGCCAGATACAGAATGTAATTGATAATTACCGTCAGTAATTAAGAGAGGTCGTGGGCATCGATTATAATAAAAATATTCGGTACACAAATATGTAACTAAATAATTTAATAAAGTACTGATTCAAGTAAATATAATTATGTTCAAGAAATTTAATTGTAATTAATAATAAAATCAATCAGAGTGACCCCTGCTGGTCACTCACCCAAGCCCACTCCACCAGCCCCCCCTGCTGGTCACTCACCCAAGCCCACTCCACCAGCCCCCCCCCTGCTGGTCACTCACCCAAGCCCACTCCACCAGCCCCCCCCCCCTGCTGGTCACTCACCCAAGCCCACTCCACCAGCCCCCCCCTGCTGGTCACTCACCCAAGCACACCACCAGCCCCCCCCCCACTGCTGGTCACTCACCCAAGCCCACTCCACCAGCCCCCCCCCCTGCAGGTAACTCACCCAAGCCCACTCCACCAGCCCCCCCCCCTGCAGGTAACTCACCCAAGCCCACTCCACCGGCCCCCCCCCCTGCAGGTAACTCACCCAAGCCCACTCCACCGGCCCCCCCCTGCAGGTAACTCACCCAAGCCCACTCCACCAGCCCCCCCCCTGCAGGTAACTCACCCAAGCCCACTCCACCCGCCCCCCCCCCTGCTGGTCACTCACCCAAACCCACTCCACCAGCCCCCCCCCCCCCTGCTGGTCACTCACCCAAGCTCACTCCACCACCAGTGGCATTAAACATGGATTTGCCACTCCGTAAGAAATGAAGCCTACTAGCCAGCACCGGGCGGACTCGAGCAACCCAGCTAACCCATAGAGTCCGATGCATAGAAAACGTAAATATATGCCAGCCTTTCATTAGTAGGTCACATTCGTAACGTTCCTGCCATAAAAAGAAACACGATCTATTATATTAGTCGAGAAGATTGGTTGGACTGTCACAGGTCAATTGGGGTAACGAGGTAGGTAAACCATTACCACCTCGTTAGCTAGGCGTTTACCTATTAGGCTCGTTTTCTGAAAATAAGTTTTAAAGGCGATACAAACTTGGCCTCGGCTATTTTAAATGGGTATTTAAAGCTAGCACTGATTTATATTGTGCCTCCAGTGAATTACTCACTACTCCGTCACTGTAACCTCACTGTAGCGCTGTACCCTCGCAAGGACACCGCTTCCACGTGACTCTTAAATCAATATAGTCATCCAAATATAACGCGCGAGAGAGAGAGAGAGAGAGAGAGAGAGAGAGAAAGAGAGAGAAAGAATGAGAGAGAGAGAAAGAGAGAAAGAGAGAAAGAAATAGAAAGAGAGAAAGAGAGAAAGAGAGAAAGAGAGAAAGAAAGAGAGAGGGAGCAGTAGTCTCGTGGACTTGGATATTTACTCTTTCACTAGTTCTTCTCCTCATACCCATGATGTACTTTGTTTATTCAGGGGGCGAGGAAGGAGGACAAAGCTTGTGCATTACTAAAAGTAATTTGCTTGCGTGTGCAATGAATAGCGGTGCTGGGAGGAGTGCCTGTGTGCTCACCTCCAAGTGCTGGGAGAGTGCCTGTGCTCATCTCGAGTGCCTTCAGGCTGTGGGGTACAAGTGCGGCAAGGAGTGCCATGCTATACTTCAGCCACTACATCCAACATCATGAGCCACAGCTTGTATGAAGCTTAGTCAATTCCGATTGTGTTCGTTAATCTTACACAAGCTTAACGGAGATTAAATGATCCAAGTCTCCATTTTCCTTCACAAGGATAGACGTCTTCCAACCGTCTCAAGGAAGGTGGACGGACGGACTGCTAATCAACGAGTAGCGTGGTGTCGACTCTCCGAGCAGCATGGCTTCGAATCCCCGAGCAGCATCGAGTCGAACAACTGTGCAACGTGAAGTCGAATCTCCGAGCTGAATGGAATCGAATCTCCGAGCAGCATTGACTCTAATATCCGAGCACCATTCAGTCCAGTGTCCGTGCAACGTGAAGTCGAATCTCCGAGCAGAATGGAGTCGAATCTCCGAGCAGCATTGACTCCAATATCCGAGCACCATTCAGTCCAGTGTCCGTGCATCCGTGCAGCGTGAAGTCGAATCTCCGAGCAGTATGGAGTCGAATAATCGAACAACCTCGAATCGAAACAACCCCCCAACCAACGTAGGGTCGAATATCCGAGCGTATCGACCATCTTTTCATCCTACAGTTTGTTAATGACATGTAATTGCAAGATTTCCTAATTGTCTATATTGATTCTGAAACATTTATTTCGAAACTTTGACGAATGAAAGAATAAAAGCAAAGATTATTTTTCTAGACTTCTATTGTCCTTTGGAAAGATTTAATACAACAAAATCAAACCAATACCTATTGTTGGCCTCAATAGGCGTTACCAAACTGAGTTCTAAATTACAGCCTCAATGCATCTCTTACCAGCAAAATACTGTATAACACTGGGAAGCTGAGTTTTAATCTACCAACAACGAGGATTCCTGGTTCTTGAGGATTAAATGTGGGTTTTTCTAGTTTCTGTCAACGAGGATTGGTTCGTGTCGAGGTAATACAGGCGCGGAGAGCCTTCCTGAGCGGCGTCAATCTCAGTACAAGCTCAGAGAAAAAGAGGTTCAGCCTTTATAATTCTCTTCCCTGATGTGAATTCAAATCCCCCAGAGTGTGAGCAAATGCATCGTTCGAAAATGTTTGAGTATGAGTTTTGGCAGAACTCGTCCTCAGACCAAGTTCATTCCATCCAGCGGTCGACCCCAAAGACGCATTCATCAGTTCTAACATTCTGTTCAATCAAAACAGGAATTTTCTCAAATAAAAATTAATATTATTTTATATTGTTATATTGTACATATTTAGGCATTGGTTAGGTTAGGTTTGTTTAGGTTATGTTAGGTGTTTAGGTTCTATTGGCGAGTATTTGTATATGCAACCCGTCCTCGACTCAAGTCCATTACATCCAGCGGTCGACCCCACAGACGCATTCATAAATTTTAATATGCTGTTCATTCAAAACGGGAATTTTCTCAAGTATAAATTAATATTATAATATATTAGCATATTGTGTATATACAGGCATAGGTTAGGTTAGGTTAGGTGTTTAGGTTCTGTTGGCGATTATTTGTATTTGTAGTACGTGGGTGAAGCATTTATAGCGTTGTGATTCGAACAAAATTCGTCAGTGAAACACTTGTTCCGGATATGTTCGAACGTCAGCAGTTGTGAGTCGTGTGTAAACCGCTTTTCATTCATAAACAGGGGGTTTGGCGGGTGCATGGAATCACTTTTGGGTCTTTGTTTGGAGGACGGGCTGCACTCAGAATTTTCTCAAATATAAATTATTATTATAATATATTAGCATATTGTGCATATATAGGTATAGGTTATGTTAGGTGTTTAGGTTCTGTTGGCGATTATTTGTATATGAAGTATGTGAGTGAAGCATTGATCGAAATGCTGTTCGAACAGAGGTCGTCAGCGAAGCACTGCTCGTAAAATGTTCGAACGTCATCAATTGTGAGTCGTGAGTACACTGGCTTTTATTCATAACAATGGGGTTTGGCGGCTGAATTAACGAGCCTTTGACCATTGTTGATGAGGACGAGGCTGTAATGTTGTGATTAACGCTGTGAAAAGCTTCATAACACCCCCCCCCCCCCAGCGCTTCTGTACCCCCAGCAGTATTCATCGAACAGCTTTGAATTCCCCGTTTTCATATTCCGAAGCATCGGAACATAATTCAGCTCTCAAAGACCCCTCGCAAGGTTTGAAGTTCCTCAAAGCCCAACATGTCGGGATCTCCAATGACTCGAGACTCCGAATCCGATCTACTGAGACTGGCAGGGAGTTCTGGGATTTAGAGATTTTCCTTTAATAGGGAACCTCGTCCAGTGTGACCTGGGATACCAGTGAGGCGCTGTGAGGTCCTCCTTGATGGAGGGCTGAGGATGAAAGGGACTGCGGCTTTGAGGCTTCCCGCGCGGCCCACTAATGCTTCATGAGACAGGTTCGAAGCTTCGCCAGGGACTCTTGGGATTATGAACCCTGTTTTTTGTTGGTGTTATTTTCTATAACTAGATGGGGTTCTTGGCTGTCTGTCTGTCTCTCTCTCTCTCTCTCACTCACACTTTCTCTCTCTTTCTCTCTCTCTTTCTCTCTCTCTCTCTCTCTCTCTCTCTCTCTCTCTCTCTCTCCCTTCCTCTATTTCTCCCCCCCCCCTTCCCACTCTCCCTCTATGGAAAAGCTGAAAAATTATTGAAAATCCCTGAAAACAAAAACAAATAATATATATAGGAACGAATCATTTTAAAAGGGCGTCAATAGGTACAATCACAACCCGCCTATAACAGTCCCCACCCATCCCTGTGTCATCCTGCAAAGTTGAGTGAAGGCCGCTCTAGACGTCTGGTGTCCAACCTAGACAGACAT